CAGATTTGCTTCCTCTGGAGCTAATGTAGCTGATTTGAAAGGAAGTGATTGCCTCGTTGAGCCAAGACGCTTCCATGATTCACACTAACCTTCCTCCGGTGGGCAATTTCATTCTCGCTCTTACAGCCCCCAAGGAACTGCTTGGATGCACACTGGAGGATTTCCTGACCAAAGTTCATGTACACTGTAATTTAAGTAAAAGCCCTGATTACATTCTGTGCTGCTCTGAGTTAAATGATAGGAAAACCTGATATGTGTGGAAGGGCAGAGGCAAGTACATGTGTTTGCCTCCCCCAGTCTCGTAAAAAATAGCACAAGAAATCAACTGAGGAATCAACTGAGGCTGATTCTAAACACTGAACAGCTAATTCTAAGAAGTTGGAAACAAAAATAGAGTACCTATAAGTCCAGTGTACTGATTTATTAATTTTGTATCACATCCAATTGCTTCAATGCAGAGCCACTCTTTTATATATATATGTGTACATATATATATATATGTACACGAGCAATTGTCAGATTTTTCATCTGAATATAACAGTTAAATATCAGCCAAATTAGATTCTGTTGTATGCATGTTGCTAAATGCCCTACTTTGAATTTCTCAGTGGGTCTATTAATTTTCCTGTGAGACGATTTTAGATATATCCAAAAGCATATTCTGAATGACTAGGGCACTTTCAGAAATTTATCCTATTAGCAACGTACCTTCTGGTAATTTAAACCCTATTCCAGAACCATCCCACTTTTTAAACCGCAATGTCCAATGAAACTTGAGCAAAGGAGCTAGCAGTGTTAGGATGAAGTCTGTTGTTTCCAAATATATCATAGGTTTCATGTGCTTTACTGCCTCAGACTACTGTATTTAGCCTACTGTATTTAGGTTATTGGTTTATCAGGGCGAGATATACTCATAAAGAGGAGGAATTGTTTTGCCAAGTGTGGGTTCTTATCTGACTCATAGGCTGATTTATGTTCTAGCAAGAACTTGGCAAAATCTTAAGTTATAAGTAATAGGTTATAAGTATTGCACTATGGCTTCACCATCTCGATGGTCTTGAGCATAGAGTGACTTAATCTTGAGTGTAATTCTTAGTTTGAGACAAAGGTGTATGCCAAACATGTGACCCTTATCCGTCCTTGAGTTGCATAATCATCCTTATCTGGCTCTCATTTTTTCCCACGACACTTACTTACCACCATCAAAAAAAAAAAAACCCTATAAAATATACATATTTTTTTTGCCTTTATCCTTCCCTTCCCAGAGCTTACATTCTGGGAGGGGAAGGATATGTAAGCATTTTATATTACTGACATATTTACCAAAAAAGCACTCAATAAATACTGGTCGAATGAACAGATAGGAAATATCATACCAGCACAAAGTGGCACTGTGCAAAAACTTAATAATCATTTGAACAAACACATGAGTTAAACACCATTCTGGGACTAGTGAGGAAGTTTCGATGCCATTACTTACTTTCCTATATTGTAACTTCAGAAGGCTGAGCAGAATTGAACAGCATCTGCTAACAAAACACGCTTCTCACGTCTTTACGCTCTTTGTATCTTTTCTCCTTTGCCCATGCTTCTCCTTCCATGAAAAATTCCTTTCCCCTGTAGTTTTGATTTGGCTAGTTCTCAGTCACATTTCAAAACTCAACTTCAGAGAGCTGTTTCTCCGAGACTCGTCTCTAAAGTCCCCGGTATTAGGGGTGAGATGTTCCTGCTATGCGCTCAAATAGAACTCCATCCTTGACCACAATATTAAATCTTACCAGACTTCAGAGCTTCCCTTCCTTCTTCTCTGAGCTCACTGTGCTCTGAAGGCAGAGGCCATGGTGCTTTGTCTGTTCGTTGTTATAATGCACACATGATGTTTGTTTCCTAGAAAGCACTTAGTTAAAAAGCAAAGGGAAGGGGGATCATGAAGGAAAAGAGAGAGGGGTTGGGGAAGAGAATAAAGCGTGGGAAAAAGTCATTCATTTAATCAAGATAGAACATCTTCTACGTTTCCAATCAGGGTGGATTTAACAAATGAATTCAGATATTATGAGCCCTTCTGTGTGCCAGGCATGCTTCTAGACACTGAGGGGGCTGTAATAAACAAAGAGATAATGTCACTGTTCTCATGGACAATTTTAGTTTAGTTGAGTCTGAAAACATGTTTTTTACGTGGTAGAATTTTCTTTTAGTGGTAGAGACAGACAATAAACAAGCATAATATTATATCATGTATAATATATGTTATATATGTAATATATATGTGAAACAATGTACAACATAATGTAAAATATAGTGGAAGTACACAAATTGTAAAAATATATGAATTATACAACCTATATGAACTACATAGAAATATTTAAATTTTATAAAGATATATGAATTATGTAAAATATAGGAATTATATATATAAATGAAAATATATGAATACACATAAAATACATGAAATATATATTCATAAAATATATGAATTGAATAAAATATATGAAATATAAAACTACATGAATTATATAAAATATATAAATCATATGAAGGTATATGAGTTATATAAAAATATGAATTATATAAAGCTATATGAATTGTATAAAGATATGCATTATATACAATATATGAAGTTATTATATGAAATATATAAAAATATATGAATCATATAAAACATAGGAACTACATAATGATATATGAATTATATAGAACATATGAACTACATGATATATGAATTATATAAATTATATAAATAATTTTTATTATATTAAAAATTATATAAATTGCATAACTCATGAATTATATAAAGATATAAGAATTATATAAAAATATGCGTTATGTAAAATACATGCGTTATATAAAATTAAGGTATGATAAGATAAAATAAGATAAGATAAACTTTGGGGATACTTACGGGGAACCCGTCGATTGCTTGTCTCTTTGTAAAGATTCCTTATTAACGTTTACCTGTAAAATGCTACTTGTCCTCTCCCAGAACACGAAGCACTGCATAAATCACTCCAGGCGTGGCACTTATAACTTACATATGGGTCTCCGCCCTGACTGAAAGTGAGAGGAACGATTTGCATAGATGTCAAAACCATACGTGGACCTTTGAGGGGCCCACCTCTCAGGGGCGTGCGGAAGCACCCGGCCCTGAGTGGAGTCTTGGTGGCTGGGGGACACCCAGCGCTCCACAGTGCGCAGGTGCGCTTGCATATCTGGGCGGGATCCTCATTTCTTAAGTGTGAGCAGGGATTGAAAACGGTTACGAGCCAAATAACCTTGGCTAATACATTTGGTTACAAACCAAATCAACTTCTCCAGACTTTTGGTTAAAAACCACTAAATCCTGTTTCTTTCTCCAAGGTCTTGATTCCGTTGGGAGTAGTTACTAAGTCATTTCAGGAGACAAAGAATTGAGTTTTGTACTGGATGGGGGGAGATCACAGGCTCTGGGTACCAATTATTGACCGCTGCTACTACACAGTAATGGGAAGAAATACACCGCCACTTCCGCTTTCATATAGGCGAGTTATTTTGCTAGCAAATGGAAGACTGTGCTTAGGGGACCGCGGTGCTTTGTGGTGAAAGGGGAAAAAAACCAAAAACAATCCCAGTGAATGAAGGAGAATGGCTGTGTTATTGCAGTACACAAGGCTTTGATTACATACTGCCAAGATTCATACCAGCCCAGTAGTTGTTGACAGATAAAGTAACAAAAATGAAACTCATTTATTTTTTTTTCTTTATTGAGACCTCAAGGAAAAGCAGATTTTCAGTTCTTGTACTTACTACGTTGATAGAACAGAGACTGACAGCGAAAATGTGCCAGTCCAGAAATATAAATTAAACCTCAGGTCATATCAAAATTCCATTTAGTCTTGGCAAAGGAGCTGCTGGTGGATTATTTTTGATCCTAAATCAAATATACCATGGAGTATCACAGTATTCCTGGTATATGTTAACCCTTTCCTGTGAATAATACTTTCAAAATTACTGTTGTTTTCAGTCTAAGACGCTTTATTTCTTTGACAGTGTTGGAGGCAACTTGAATTATCGTCAGAGTAGGTTATATTTTACTGAATGCAAATTACTAGCAACAGACATATACATTTCAGTCTGCAGGAAGTAGGAAACTGGATTTGGAAAATTGATAACAGACCCTTTTCTCTATTACAAAGTCATATTCGATGCTACAGTTTGATTATTGATATAAGGACAAAGGTAAGTGGGAAATGGAAAGTAAGAGTTTTTGGTTTGTTTGACTGTTGATGTGCACTGAACAAAATTTCTGACTGGGTCATTTGTACCTCCCTTCATGTAACTTAAGTTGACAGAACAACAACAACAAAAACGATAAGCAAGACCGTCTCTCACTTTTCCTTTTTCTCTGTCTCCCTTCCCCTTCCTTCCTTCCTTCCTTCCTTCCTTCCTTCCTTCCTTCCTTCCTTCCTTCCTTCCTTCCTTCCTTCCTTCCTTCCTTCTCCCTTCTCTTCTCTCTCTCTCTCTATTTTCTCTTTCTCTCTCTTTTTATTCAAGTGTCACCATGGAAATTGTCTACAGTTTCTCATAATGAAGGTAGTAGTAAGTCGATGACAGAATTCTGGAAACAGCAACACGATTTACTTTGGGAATGATACACAAGCGGGTAAACAGAGCGATCAGTGAACTCGAAACGTCACTGTAATCCAACAATGTCCATTTCTTGAGTATATCCTAAACATAATTTTGCTGAAGTTTGTTATATTATTATTCTAAAGTCTCCATTTGCTAATTTTCTCATTAATTTTTTAGCAGCCGAAAGATAGCATGAACTTGTTTCTTGAATTACCTTTTCTGACCTTTTGCAAGATGATAATTACCAAAAAGGGAGGCCTGCAAGAACGTATACAAAAATTAAGCTTATAAAGTAGCTAAAATGGCCCTTCTGTGCTGGTGTCGATTTCAAAATTAACATTTTGGTTCATGTGCTTCTAATAATCACTGACCCTTACTTCATGTACTTTCCACAGGAAATGAATACAGCAGAAATTACTTTGACCCACTGATGGATGAGGAAATAAACCCAAGGCAGTGTGGGATGGAGGTCAGCAGAGAGGGTGAGCTAGAATTAAGTATGTAATTTTTGTGTCAGAATATTCTTTTCCATTCATGAAAATGAGGTGACAAAGATCACACATGCAATCCCGGTTAGACTTTGCAGCTTACAATTTAAATGGTAAGTTTTAACCACTAACAACATGATGGGCAGCGAAGGTAATTTTTGATCAAGGACAGCCAGCTGGTCTGATAGAAGCGGCAAGAATTTGCTTTCATTTGATGCTGCTGTAAGCAGTTCGGTGTCATTATGAGGCCTGTGTTATGCATATGAGGAGCATCATCGCTTTACAAATGCCATCTCTGCTCTTTGAGCTTGAAGTGAGCATTCTTCAGATACAGTGCAAAATTCATCTAGCACAGGAAGCTTCTGTGCCCAGTGACTACTGAATTCCTTGCACTGGAAGGCATGGAACCCCCACTAAATTTTGATACGCAAGGTAGAGTGGTACGATTTCTTCCTCCATAACCTTGAGGCTGGTTGCAGTTGTAAAATAACAAGACCATATTTCACCATTGGACGCCAGTCACTGAATCTGCACTTTTTAGTGAAAGACGGGGGTAAATCCTCACAGATAAAAGGGATCAAGCACAGTGCAAGGATTTTTTTTTTTTTTTTGGAAAAGACAGTTTTCAATAACTATGCCTAATTTAGATGGTACAGAATCCACGGGTATCATCAAAAGAAACATGGACAGAAGAAGGCAAGGGCTTAGTCTCAGGAGAGTTTTTACCAGGAGCCCAAAGCAAGGTGAATTGAGAACTGGAAAAAGCTCAACCTTTTATTTGCCCAATACCCTTGGGGGGAGGAAAGGTAATCCCAATGAATTCTGGAGAGGAGGTATCCGTGAGATTCTTCTTAAGTCTGTTTTAATTCCTTGAAGATCACAATGTATTGTGTACTGGGGGGAATTTTTGTAAGGTAAGGACTAAAGTTGACTTAATAAGATGTTCAATAAGATACGAATGTCTCTGACCACAGACAAGTGTCATAGAATAAAGTATTGTGGGTCACTCCTCCTGCATCAGCAGTGATTATCCAATGCCTGTGCTTCCCTTTGAGTCCCACATTTTCGAGCAGGCGGCCATTTTATATCCGGTTTTCAGTCTGCAATTAATGATAGCTTCTTTTCCTTTTTTGCTGGGAATTCAAGCCTGTGCAGTTATTTCATTTAGGGGAATAGACCGCGCTAAGGAACACAAGATCTCCTTCCACGTCTTCTATGTCACAGAGCTGAAGGCCACGCGGGGACGTAACAGTGGTGCCGTCTGGAGGAGGGCCAGCCTGCGCAGAAATGCGACATACAGCATTCCGTGTGCTTGCCCACCTACCTTCACCCTGGTTCAGCTTTGTTCTCATATTTGTTTGTTTATAATTTTTCCCCCAAGTCAATATGGCTTTTATTGTATCTTTAAAATATCACAGATAAGTCTGAAAAATCATGGGCGATCTTGCTGTTTCTGTAGCTGGATGACTTAGATGTTATTTATCAGCCCTGCTGAACTGTTTTTTTTCCCTCAGAAACATAGATAACAATCTCCAAATTTTCTGACATCCTTGTTTTTTTTTTTTAAATATTTTTAATGTTTATTTATTTTTGAGAGACAGAGACAGAGCATGAGCAGGGAAGGGCAGAGAAAGAGAGGGAGACACAGAATATGAAGCAGGCTTCAGGCTCGGAGCTGTCAGCACAGAGATTGATGCAGGGCTCGAATCCATGAACCTTGAGATCATGACCCAAGCTGAAGCTGGACGCTTAACCTACTGAGCCACCCAGGTGCTTCTCGACATCCTTGTTTATAACTGTTACAGCTTACTGAGTGAAAGCAGCTGAGTTTGACCCAAGTTCAATGTCATTTCCTTTAAGAATTAACTCACCTTTCTGGACTTGAGAGGCTGAACAAGCAACACCTCATCCAAACCCAGCAGATATAATTTTCACCCCTGAGATTCCAGATTTCAACAGGAGAACATTCTCCTGAATAACAATGTTGGTGGGGAAGTGAGGATACCCAGACCTTATCTTGTAATGGAAGCCCAGTGTAACACCCTTGACCATGGTCTGTATGTGACTACAGATAGTGTAAACAGTAGACAGTTCTTTTCTGCTTCCCACCATTTATCAACTCAGAACTTCTCCTTTTTCCTTCCAAGGAGACTGAGTTCTGCATTGACATGACTTAGATCCCTTCGTAGGGCTCTTCTGGGGCCCTTCACGAGAACAGTACTTCCCTTCCGAGTGATGTCAACATTTTCTGGAATGTCGTTATTCTTTTTGCTGAGAATCGACTTCATTCTTGCAGTAGATGCAGCAAAGGTTTTCATAATTTGTTCTCTACTTGCTGCCAAAATAGTTTGAGGCAGCTTACAATAAAAATGTAAATGTATATAGTGAAAGCGAATCTCAAATATAGATGAAAGAGGGATTTGGGGGCACCTATAGAAGGAAGAAGTACATGTATAAGAAAAAGAAGACAGTATTATACCTATAATTAAGCACTTATCTTACTTTGTGCTTCCTGGAACTTAAATATAAAGGGACATATGTTAGATCACTTTCAATGTTTAATAGGATTTCTGATTCTTTTTTGGTGTCAGTAACCTACCACCACCACCACTACCATTTTATTTCTTTAACAATAAGTCCTAGAAGGATAGTATGTTGATTTTTATGTAGCAAAGATTGTGGAAATAATGGACAATTGGTTCTTGATTGTTGGTAAATGCACTTTATTTAATATGGACTTCAGATCGCAGTGCTCAGTGCTCCTATGTAGCATCTGCTCCACAGCCGCGCAACATTTTATTGTTTTACAATTTTGGATGTGATCTGATGTAGGTAATATTAGCTTAGGTATCAGAGTTCTCCGAAGAAACAGAGCACAGAACCTATCAATAGGCTCTCTTTCTTTCTATTTTTATATATCACTTAATACATATAATATACATGTGGATATACACATACAGAGAGATAGTCAGAGAGAAACAGAGAGTCAGAGAGAAAGAGAGAGAGAGAGACAAAAAGAAAGGGAGATTTATTTTCAGAAATTGGCTCATGTGACTGTGGGGGCTGGCAAATCTCTCTGTAGGGCAGGCTGGTAAAAGTTGATGTGACATTCGGGTAGGCATTGATATGCAGCCTTGAGACTGAATTCATCAGGGCAACAGACTGGAATGGAGGCATGATGTCTATCTTGCAGGGTTGAGGAGAATCACTTCTTTGGGAAACCTGCATTTTCTCTTATGTCTTCACCTGATTGGATGAGGCCCACCCACATTATTAGAGTAATTTGCTTTACTCAAAGCGTACCAATGTAAAGGTCAATCACATCTAAAAAATACTGTCATGGCAGTATCAAGACTGACATTTGACCAAACAACTGGGCACCATAGCTTACCCCAGTTGGCAAATCAAATTAAACATCACATGTTGAATTTGTTTAATAATAACTAAAACTAACTAATTCATAATAATACCTTATAGAAGGTTGAGGCTCATGGGGACAGCCTTCTTACTGGCCATTGTACTCTCTTCCTGAAGTTTTGGCTTAAATGTCAATTCTCAACTCCCTTGATTAACCAAGCTGACGTTTCCTTGTATACCTTCTTTATCACACTCATACTCAATGATCAGTAATCTATTTATTAGTGAGGTTATCCATGAAATGTGTGTCTCCCCTGTTAGACCATCTCCTGAGCACAAAGAGGGTAGAGATATTGCTTACCTTGTTCACTGATGAATTTTTCACGTTTATTTTTGTCTTTTGACAGAGAAAGAGACAGCGTGCAGGGAGGGGTGGAGAGAGAGCGAGACAGAGAATCCCAGGCAGGTTCTGCGCTGCCACCACAGAGCCTGACCAGGAGCTCCAACTCATGAAAGTGAGAGGTCATGGCCTGAGCTGAAACCAAGAGTCAGACACTTAACTGACTGAGCCACTCAGGCGCCCCACACTGATGAATGCTTGAATCTTACCACAGCAGATGGCATAGAGCCATGAGTTGACTTGAGGAATATTTGTTGAGTTCATGTATAAATGAGTAAATGAATGTGAAGTGCTAAGCCTAATACTCAAACCATGACAAGCCTTCTGTGAACATTGGCTATTATTACTTACGGAGTGGTCAAGGGGTATCATAAGGTGGATATAGTAGCTCTGACCAACCAATGCAAAATCACCCAAAGTAGCTGTTATTATTTCCATTTCTAAGATGAGAAGCAAGCTTAGAAAGATTCAGTATTTTTCTTAAGATCACAAGATCTGGCAAAGCATGGAGGGGAAATCAAATCCCTATCTTCGGCTCTCTCTCTTCTCTTTCTCCTCATGAGTTACATTTGTGCTGTTGTCTTTCTCCACTTTTCTTTTCAGGAAACTTCCTAGAGGGGAAAATAAGCAGATTGACTCAAATTGTGGAATTTGAGTTTGAAGGGGACATTCTCTTGCTTTCAATTTCAGTCTTATGTAACCCATTTGACTCTCCAGGATCTTACTGGGGATCATTGAGGCGGTTTCCTCACCAGCTCTGCCTACCTAAGAAACCAGAACCTCTGTAGCAATTACTGGTTAGGGTTTCTTATTCAGGTTCCTCTTGTACAACCCCCCAAAAGCTGTCGACAAGTCACTACTTCATAATGAAAACACAGACACTAGTTCAGAATCGCAAAATCTAAACTATTGAAAAATTATGCACTTCATACAGTTACTAAATAGTTAACAAACAAGGAAAGGGGGGTGACTACCCTTTGTTGAGTACCTACTATATGCCAGGGATGCAGCAACGTGCATTATGTGAGTTATCTTCTTAACCCTCACAACCATTTCATCTTTGGGGCAAGGAGATTAGAGCTCAGAGACTCTAACAAGCAGCCTCGGATTACAGAGCTAGTAAATGGCAGAGCTGGGATCTGGATGTAGGTTTGCTTCTCTCTAAAGATGTTGTCTCTGTATCGATCCCATTTACCTTTTGTCTATCTGTTTTTTTTTTTCACATCCAAATGTATGTTCATTTATGCTTGTCTGTGGCCTTCATTGACATGTCAGGACGACCAAGTCCTGATATTGATGCTTTTATTACATTTGTAGATATTTCCCCATCTATGCATTTGCTATCGCTCATTGTTAACTTCCAAATAACAATGGGCCATGTATCAGCTTTGTAAGTTTTGTGGCTGTTCCACTAGGAGTCATAAAGATCCAGCAATGCTGGAATCCAAGTTTATGCTTCTCTAATGCAAAATCTCCAAAATGGCTTGCAGGAATGGCCCCTCTCCATTTTCCCAAAGTGTTGGGGTGGCAGGAGGTTTGTGCTGGCTCTTGGGAGGGAAAGAAGGCTTGCAGGTCAGCTGATACTTGAGAAAGTCATCTACAGGATTAAATGAGTGGAAGCTACTAACTTCAAAGACCTTTTGAGGTTGCACTTTGAACCATTCTATCTGGTGCCAGCAACCTAAGCCTTCCTGTTTAGCCATCCCAAGTCCATGAGTATAGGCTACCTTGGATTTTTTTCCAACACGAATGTTCAAAAGATCATAGACATGGATAGAAAGGGGAAACCTAGAATTTTGAGGAGCTTCTGACGTGGACAGTGAAGACCCCTGAAGGCTCCTCTAGAACACTTGGTGGTAGAGTTTTAGGTGTGAGCTGCAGAATGAATGACCATCTTCAGGGTTGGCTCACCCATGGAGCGCAAAGGGAGGGAAATACTTGGGCTGTACTAAAACTACCGCTGTGAAAGTACAACTACAAGGGCGCCTGGGTGGCTTAGTCGTTTAAGCGTCCGACTTTCGCTTAGGTCATGATCTCTCGGTTCGTGGGTTCGAGCCCCACGTCGGGGCTGCCAGCTCAGAGCCTGTTTCAGTCTGTGTCTCCCTCTCTCTCTGACCCTCCCCTGCTCACGCTATCTCTCTCTCTCTCTCTCCTAGAAATAAATAAAAAAAAAAAAAAAGAAAAAAGGAAAGTACAACTACAGTTTAGCTAGGTCACTTGCCTTCTATAGGAAGGAGAACGTGTTTGATGTATGTATGAATATTCTAATTCTAAGACTGGGGAGGTCATCCACATTGGCCTCATTTATGTTTGGTTCTTTCCAGCAGCGAATCTACCTGGATGATTCTTTAAACCCTCTTCCAGCACCATGTTTTTATGATTATGTGTTTTCTGTTTGCTTGTTTGTTTGGTTTTGTTTTTTGTACTGACATAACCTTGTTACTTTAAGTTCACAAAAGACCTAAGTAGCATCTGTATTTGTTATTATATTGCATTAGCGTATATAAGGGAATCTAAGACCACCTAACATCACCTAAGTTCGTTGTTTCTTATATATATGCAGTAAAAAATAGGATACACAGCGAGTAGCTAGTGGAAAACATTCATTTTTCTTTTTATCTTTTTGTATGATTTGACAAAACTTAATGGCTTGTTCTGAAATGACTCTTATGTAGTACATGTTACATTCCATTGCTTATCAGATCACTTTTATTGGAGAAGTATCCAAGTATGAATAGCCCATGATATACATTTAAAATTCATTGTTCCAGTTATCACTGATTTACGAAAGTTTTTTAATTTCAGAGCAAGGCAGCAGATTGAATAGAATTTGTGTCTATGACCTATAAAATAACTAAACAGCCATGATGATTAATACTTTCTTTTTGTAACTCAATTAACTGAGAGAAAGTCACCATAAATATGTTCTTTTAGCACCCTTACAAGTTGATAATGGAATTCTCTCTGATCGATTAATGAGGCTGTTTGAGAAGAGTGGACGAGGAGAAGCCCAAGGTAAGAGACTAATTATTTCCAACCTTTGATATTAACATTAGTTGTAAATTCATTAAGATGGTTTCTTGCAAAGGCTAATCTGTGTTTTCTAAATATAACCATTGACTGGTGACCTACGTGTGCTTTTGATGCTTGCAAATACTTAAAGATAGCTAAAGTTGGGGGGAAAGGTAAACACGGCCCAATTTTCTATAATTACATAGAATTTATAACCCTAAATAGCAAACATGATTTACTTACTATTAAAAGATCTTACAATGAGCTATGGCATAGTTGAATTCTCTAATATGAAGCTATATGCCATTCTTCTTAAAAAGTGTGTTTTAGCTTTTAAATAACTGCTTTGGGTGATAGAAGACAAGTAGTATATTGTCTTCAATCTTAATATGGGAGTTCATATTTATGTAAGTTAGGCTCTTTAAGTAAGTAATTCTCATGTGTATTAATCTAGGAATTTAAAGGTAATCCCTTAAAAACTAAAATCGAAATTCTTAGGTTAGCACATACAAATTCATACATATTCATGCCAGACCAGAACCACACCGGTGTTTTTACCAAAGCATTAAGTGTAAGTTGTATATGCATGTATTCAAACTCATGGGGAAAAATTCTATTAAGTTTTTTTCCCCCCTTCATTGTGTGCTTAGTTCTTCTCAATTGATCATTTTGTCTTTCTTATTTAAATAGTTCCTCAAAATTCATGTGAGGAGACAGGACTCATGGTTAAGTCATCTATATTTTTTGTTATTTTTCTATTGAATTTATGTTTAATGGTCACCATTTACTAACTGTGTGACCTTGGGCCAATTTCTTAACCTTTCTTTGCCTCTTCTGTCAAATGGACATATACTTGCCATAATGGAGTAGTTATGGGGATTAAATTGTCAATTATTACGTGGGCAGATATCATAAGCCCCTACAGAGAATAATGAAAATAATTGATGATAATCGATAATTGATGATGCTGTAATGATGATGAAGATAATTGATGATAATGAAAATACTAATACTAGCTAAGCATTTACTGTGTTCTTTTTCTTTTAATTTTTTAAATATTTATTTATTTTTGAGAGAGAAAGAGACAGAATGTGAGCAGGGGAGGGGCAGAGAGAGAGGGAGACACAGATTCTGAAGCTGGCTCCAGCACAGAGCTGTCAGCACAGAGCCTGACATGGGGTTTGAACCCATGAACTGTGAGCTCAAGACCTGAGCTGAAGTCAGACGCTCAACCAACTGAGCTACCCAAGTGCCCCAACATTTACTGAGTTCTTACCAGGAGCCTGACACTGTCCCAAGTACCATTCTATTTTAAATAGGGTAGATAGTAATTTATTTAAGCATCATAACAATCTTAAAGGTTAGGCCCCATTTTTAAATCACCATGTACAGATAGGATCCCCTAAAAATTTTATTACTGCGTAGGTACATCTCCCTGTTGCTTTTGTGTAACTTTTTATTCCATTTTGTCTTTATCAACCAAACAAACTCATTCTTCAAGCCAGCTTGATCCCTCATTTTTGAGAAATCTTAACTTGAAGGATCAATTAGTTGGGATTTCCCACAGAAGCAGAATCCACTCGAACCAATAGAAAGAGAGAGAGATGTAGGGAGACTGGCAAGTGTGAAATCCTTAGGACACATGAGTAGGGTGGAAATTCAGGTGAGAGTTGATATGAAATTCAGGCAGGAGTTGAAGTCTTAAGTCATAATTTTACAGGACAGCCGGCCCGAGATTCAAGTAAGAGATAAAGGTGCAGTTTTGCCATGGTGGCCTGCAGACCAGCTCAGCAGGCCAGGAACTCAGGCCGGATTTCCTAGTTTGCAGTCTTGAGCCTCAATTCCTTCCTTTTTGGGAAACCCAAGTCCTCTACTCTTAGGGCTTTCAAATGACTGGATGAGGCCCACCCATGTCATGAAGGGGGATCTCCCTTGCTTAAAGTCTACTGATTTCAATGTTAATCACATCTAGAAAATCACCTTGGATGGCAACAGCTGGACTGGAATTTAAAGGAATAACTGGGTGCCGTAGCCCTGCTAAGCAGACACATAAAATTAAACATCACAAATGATTATGTTTGAATTAGGGAGACTTCTATAGTTTTAGTCTCATATCTGAGTCAGCAAGTAGAACTTGAAGTTTGTGTGTGTGCGCGCGCGGTAGGCATTGGGGAATGCACTCGTATACCTATTCTTTCCCTTCCATTCTGAAAAAACTTTGCAGCTTGGACCCTGGAAGTCACCGAGATACACATTTACAGGTGGCACTGAAGAGGCTTTCAAAATCATCTGTGAGCTTACAAAAGGCTTATGGAATTTGTAGAGTGAAGAGGCAGGCACCTTATCAGCTATATTATACATGATGATATAATTGAGATCTAGAAAGATCTGTCTCTGTTTCTCTCTCTGTCTCTCTCTCAAAAATAAAGAAACATTAAAAAAATTAAAAAAGAATAAAGAAAAATGAACCCAAGTGCTCTGGCTTCTCTTGCACCTATTTATCACCCAAGTTGGTTTTGGCAAAACAGTGAGAAGCAGTTGTCGTAAACAGCATGTAACATTAACACACAGAAAGGCAGAGTGTCTACACTTCAGGATCTGTTTGGTAAGTAGGAAAAAAAGCTGGAATGCAGAACCTGTACTTTACTCAGTTTGTGAACATCACAGGAGGAGGAACAAAAGTTGTTGGCGTTGTGGTTGTGTTTTAATCTTAAAACTAGCTCTGGGCTTTAGTGATTTCCTGGTACATTAATCAGAAAATAATTTGCTAAACTGTAGATTATGGAAAACCAAGATTTATCCCCTATGAGAAAAAAAAGTGGTTAGATTACTATGTGTTAAGCCAACATTAAAGCGACAAAGATCAAGTCAAGTTTTGTGTGATCTTCTTGGGGTAAATAGATGGGAGCCTCCTGGAAGAGAGTTTGGATTCTGAAGAGACAGTGAGTTCCAGAAAGAGGCTGGAACCCCACAGAGAGGGCAGCGAGGAATCTGAAAGATATGTTCAGAAAAATACAATTCTACTTGGAACGTCTTCTTTGGAACAGGTCAGCATTCAAATATATATCGAGAAATGTTAAGATAATCTCTGTCTCTCTCTCTCTTTTTTAAAATATTTATCTATTTTTAGGAGAGTGCAAGTAGGGGAGGGGCAGAGACAATGGGACAGCGGATCAGAAGTGAGCTCTGTCCTGATAGACTGATAGCAGAGAGAGGCCTATGTGGGGCTTGAACTCACGAACCGCGAGATCATGACCTGAGTCAAAGTCCCACGCTCAACAGACTGAGTCACCCAGATGTCCCAAGATCATCTCTTTTTAAAATATCAAGTTGAAATGTCAGTCCTGCACATTGTCTCCTGATTTTACCAACACATGCCTGTCTAGAACACACGATTCATGAGTTGCCCAAATCTTTTCCCACATTTTCCACAAACATTTTATCATGCAGAACTCATGCTTTTTTGTCAATATCAATCCCAGCCCTCACATAATTTATTTTTACTTCATCCGGTGTTACTTCATGTTAAGAGTGTTAATTCGTAGAGTATTATGAACCTATAATCTGTAATAAATAAATAATCTGTAATAAATAAATAATCTGTAATAAAACTGGAAAGCAGCATAAACGTACTTGGGTAAAATTAAGAAAGTATTTGGATCTGTTTTGCATTAGCACTGTATTGCCATGTGAATGATCTAATATTTGTGAGGCCACCTTTTAGGGAACTTGTACATTTTGACTGTTGTGACTCATGGCCCACAAGGGTGTCTTTAGCCCATAGATTGTGTTGACTTCGGAAGCACTTTTCTATTTTCTGTATGTGTTTCTATTTATCCATAATGTAGCATTATGTGCTCGGATCCACCAAAGAGAGAAGTGTTTCTCCTTTATGTATTTCAAATAAAAATAGAGGAATTCCACATGGCTACTTCCAGGTGCGTGCGTGCATGCATGCGTGTGTGTGTGTGTGCGTGCGTGTGTGTAGTTGTTTGTGAAAGGTAAGCTGATTCAGGCTAAAAAGGAAAAAATATCACCAGGGACGTGCATATCACCAGGAGGAGATGACTCATTCATAAAGAATCCAACACAGAGGAGGTGCTCATTAAATGACAGGGAAGAAAAAATGGCAGTTTTTCCCAGGCCAGCACCGTTCATGTTCTCACCTTCACTGTGTTAGGAAGTTTCCCGAACATTTTATGCAGGGAAAAACTTCAGTTAGCTGTTAGAGCTCATAGCTTTCATCCTCGGTTCTGGTCGTTATATGAACTTGATCTTCTGTATAAAATAGGACAAAATCATCTAAACCTCTTGTGGTCATGGTGAGGATCTAAGACGTGTCCAAGTGCCTGGCAGTTAAAGCTTTTCTTTTTTTGTGACTCTTGTATATTTTTAAAGAGTGCTATCCATTCTTTCCTTTTATTTCTACTGCAAGGGTGAACTGATACTTACAAGTTATGGTATTTAGTTTTTTTTTAAGTTTATTTATTTACTTTGAGAGAGACAGAGAACACGAGTGGGGGAGGGGCAGAGAGAGAGGGAGAATACGAGAATCCCAGACAGGCTCCGCATTGCAAACTCAGAGCCAGTCACCGGGCTCCATCTCATGACCCATGAGATCATGATCTGAGCCTGAAACCAAGTGTCAGACACTTACTGACTGAGTCACCAGGCACCCCCTACATCAAGGTGTTTAAATGGAGATAGGAGAAGGTTCCAGATGTTGTGAGTGCTGTTGGATGAGTCCTTAAATGATTTATCGACACCTGCTCATTTATAGGGGAACTGAGTGAATTGCTTTTCCTCTCAACATGCCATGGCCTTGTAGCAGTGCTGGATTTGGGGATGACAAACGGATCTAGATCGCAAAAAGAGAGGAAAATGACCTTGACTAAAATGTCACTGGGACTGGGCTAGGAATTGTCTGTGTCAGAGATACCATGCAAAAACACAACAAATATACAGATCTTGACAGTGGATGTACATTGTGGAGAAAAAAATAAGGACAAATACCAGGAAACTAATAGCAGTGGAGGATTGCAGGGGACATGGGATTGAGAATCAGTGGGACCTTGGGGTCAATTGAGAGAATCATATTTCGAGGGTCATGCAAGGGCTGAAATATTACTTGAATTGTTATCACTGGGCAGTTTAGTAGGTAAAGCTGTTAAGAAATATCTGCACTGATCTTTCATATCTCCTAGACATTAGAAAGCTTGTAGGAAAGACATTAAATGACTTAGGTCTGAGAATTATCTGTAAGAGCTAAAACCAATCCATTAGGTGTATAGCTTTAACAAATTTAATCGCAAGGGAAATTCAGGGAAGCAAGAATACATTGTTTTTTGAATAAGTATTGAATGAAAACTAAAATAATTTTGTATTTAAAGGGTTTTTCTGGACATTTCCTATCATTTATTGTATATGATGTACCTGTTCTTAATCATTTGCAGATAACTAGGTTTCCTCCTGAATTTTAATAATAATTCATAGCTTTAGTTTATTCAATTAACAAGTGATGCTTTCAGGAGGTTTTAGGAGATGATTTCTGTGTAATATACTATAAAAAGGAAAATCATTTTAAGTTTTTGTCTTGATCTTAAAAATCAAATATTGTGTTTAGGGTAGTGGTGGAACAGCACCTTAGCCTGAACCCAGTGTCTTTCAGGGAAACACTCAAAAAAGTTTATCAATGTGTGGGGCACCTGGGTGGTTCAGCCGGTTAAACGTCTGACTCTTATTTTTCTCTTGTAATGTTTATTTATTTTTGACACGCACACACACACACACACAGAGAGAGAGAGAGAGAGAGAGAGAGAGAGAGATCATGAGCAGGGGAGGGGCAGAGAGAGAGGGAGACACAGATTCTGAAGCAGGCTCCAGGCTCCGAGCTGTCAGCACAGAACGTAAGGCGGGTCTCAAACCCACAAACCGTGAGATCATGACCTGAGCCAAAGTGCCGCTTAACCATCTGAGCCACCCAGGCGCCCCTCATTTGACTCTTGAATTCGGCTCAGGTCAGGATCTCAGGTTCTTGGGATCGAGCCTGTGTCAGGCTCTGCACTCTCAGTGGAGATTTTTTCTCCCTCTCTCTCTGTCTCTCTCTGCCCTTTCCCCACTTGTGCGCTCGCTCTCTCTCTCTCTCAAAATAAATAAATAAACATAAAAAAAGCTTATATTTGTTTATTTACTTACTGTCAGTTCACATTGTATCAGCACCTCCAAGTGAAAAGAGACATGCAAAACAAACAAAAAATGTTATTAGTTGTTACTTTTTTCATGGAGATTTATTTTATACTATCTTTTTTCTTTTTTTGCTGTGGTTGATAGTATTTAGTTCATATTAAAACATAAAATTGCCGGGGCGCCTGGGTGGCTTAGTTGGTTAAGCGTCCAACTTTCACTTAGGTCATGATCTCACGGTTCGTGGGTTCAAGCCCCGCGTCAGGCTCTGTGCTGACTGCCAGCTCAGAGCCTGGAGCCTGTTTCCAGTTCTGTGTCTCCCTCTCTCTCTGACCCTCCCTTGCTCACGTTGTCTCTCTCTCTCCTAGAAATAAATAAAACATTAAAAAAAAACAAACATAAAATTGCCTCCATCTTTCTTTTCCTCCTTTCCTTTAGTAGGAGCAATTAAAGCTGAAAATTAGGCAACTGGGGTCACTGAAGAAATTGGTGTCATTAAAAAAATGTGGAGGCACACAACAAAACAGCAACCTTAGAGTGACTAAGGCAACTAATTCCGCAATCAGGCAAAATAGGATGATCCAAGCACCAATTTCTGGTGTTAGACATGATCTAAGGACAGCATTTTATCTAGAGATTGGGTGGGCTGATCATTCTTCAAAACAATCTCCATTAACATAATTTCTTACAACTGAAAATTTAATATCCTGAAACTCTCAGAAAGTTTGAGGTTCCGTTATTGTATATGATCTAAAGTGTAAAATTCTTTATTTCAGGTGAATGGTAGATTCTTTTCTTTTAGTGATCACGTAAGCCATTGGGCATGACTTATGTGCTCCTATGAAAATCCAGGAGCCTACTAGGACACCTTCCAGTATAGGAAGCCACTCCACTTCTGTATGGAATTGAGTCAAGGAAGGAAAAAGTTCCATGATTTGGAGTAAAGGTTTATGTACACAGGTACATATGTACATACATATGGTGCTAATACAACCATATGTATGTAGGAAAAGACAAAGTAAGAGAGCTGAATAATCTTTGGTAGATTGTCACATCCTATTAAACTTCTAGAACCTTGGGGTGCCTCAGTGGCTCAGTTGGTAAGCGTCTGACTTTGGTTCAGGTCATGATCTCATGGTTCGTGGGTTCGAGCCCCGGGCTCTGTGCTGACAGCTAGCTTGGAGCCTGAAGCCTGCTTCTGGATTTTGTGTCTCCCTCTCTCTCTGACCCTCCCTTGCTCATGCTCTCTCTCTTTCCCATTCTCTCTCTCAGAAATAAAAAAAAAGAAACGTTAAAAATTTTTTTAAATAAAAAAACTTCTAGATCTTATTCTAAACTCACATATTTAAAATTGTAGTAAAGCCATTCCCCTTTAGCTTTTGTTAATATGTAGTCCACCACCAATAACGATCAAGCTTCCTCAAAGTTCAAGGTGAGTTCAAGTGGTTGTAATTAGCATTTTGACCAGATATCCTCTTACCTGTAGTAAAACAAATCGCCATTTCTGAAACAAAGGTATTGATGAAAGAGTTTCTTGGTGGTTGTCTTAGCATGCTACTTTTCATAGAATTTTTTAAATAATTTCATTATGTTGAGAATATCACCCAAAACATAATTTTATTGCATATATTTTTAAAAACCAGAGTCAGTTTGACACATTATTTAATAATTCTACTCTCTTCTTTGCCCAACTCTCCCATTCTCTTGTAAAGTTCCTTGTCTAACCAAATTTCCTTCAGAAACTCAGCCTTCAATTATATATCAGCAAATGAAAATTTGTGCTGAATAAGACAGAAATGAGAATAGTACAGTGTGTTCAAAGGAAAGGAATCCCATACATGATATTTAACACTCAAAATAGCAT